TTGATCTGTTGTCATGTGATGATGCTGGAGGTGGAGCTTCTTCAACTCTTCGGGATTTGACAATCGCTTGTGGATTCTGCCCTGGGGCAAGCGGAAGCGATGTTGGTTCTTCTGAGGATGGTGCGAAAGGATCTGGCTCAATGGTCGACCGGCCCTTCTTGTCGATGATCCTGTCTGCTGCCGATCCTGAACCTGCTTCTTCGTCCTTAAGCGAATTGTCCGCGAAGGTGAAAATGGTCTTACCTATCCACAGGTTAATCATCGGTTTATTTGCCTGGGATGTAAGTCTCCAATTGTCTTCTAGGATGTCTGGATCTCCACCTGCGGATGCATCAATGATTTCCGTAGTACGCTCTCGGCCAATGTTATCAGGATTGATTGGACACTCCTTGGCTCCATTGGGTGTGAACAGCGCCTTTCGGGGCGTGATGTGCACACGAATGAGCTGCTTGTTCTTCTTGTCAAGGGTCCAATGGTCCTGCTTTTGAGACCCAATGATTTTAGGAGTTGCTAGGTCCTCCTTTGTCTCGGATGATTTTGCTGTACAAACAGTTTCACTCTTGGTGAGATCCCCGGAGGGAAACTTTATGCTGTTGTCATCATCATAGACATAGTTGGTGAGGCCTTTGTGAGCAATTTCTCCATGTGCCTTCACTCTTGCAACTCCAGCAAGGTTGACGAGTGCATGTCCTGTACCGGATACTGGAACTGCTTGACGGTTCATGCCAAAGGCCTTGCGTGTGATCTTGTCACATTGAGGTGTGTGCTCAATGGTCATGTAGAGGTTCCGCATCTGACTAATGCTGAGGAGGATCGGTCCAGTTCCTTGTTCAAGGACGTCGATGTTGGTACTGCGTGGAGGAGTTGTGTGATATCGAAGATGCAGGGTCCAATTTACCCGGGGCGGTCTCTCCGTTTGCAAAAGTGAACTTGGTCTCGGCCGGGATGTACTGATAGGAGATGATGTCCTTCATTGGTTCGATGGCCTGAGTAAAACGCGTTGCCAGAAGGCTATGATTTGTTGTTAGGGAAAGATTGTGTTCTGAAACTGTATCTGATTGGATCAGCTTCCCGTGGATGGCCTTTTTCTCATGATGCTCATATGCACCATGGAATGCCATTAGCGCTTGTCCTGTGCTGGATGTCTCATGGGATGCGTACCAGCCATGTTCGTTCCCTGTCCATGGTTGATCCCAGTCTTGGTCTGTCCAACCGGCATAGGTAGGCTCTATGGATGGTGCAGTCTGCTGGATGGCGGCTGGCGGGCTGCTGCTCCGTCTGCTCTGCAATGGCTGCGAACGTCTTGGATTTCCCTTTTTCATGTCCGCTCTTTCCTTTACCATTCTCATAGGATGGATAACCTTTGTTTCCATCATAGGGATATTGGAATTTCGATTTTCCTTTCTTTCCCTTCTTTCCTTTGCCTTTTCCCCAATATGCCTGGTCGTAGGGATCATAGTTTTCGTTGGCCATATTGGCCTTTCCGCCAGAACCGCTTTTCCTGAAGGGTTTGAAGCCACCTCGTTGGTGACTGCCCTTTTTGTTTCCTGACTTTCCTTTTCCTTTGTTCTTCTTGAATTTGAAGTTCCGCCCCGACACTTTTCTTGCTATGAACGCATCGTTCTTCCGAGGACCCAGAATGTCTCTTCATCGTTGTTTGACATGAATCCTTCAAGTCCTTCTTCATCCTCAACCCAAAAGCCTTCTTCTCCTTCATATTCACCTTGCTCGATGATGAAGAAGGTGTTGCTTCGGTTACCTCCTTGAGGTCGGATGGACGAATCTTGAATGGATGTCCTGGTCGTGATGAAGAGTTCATGGTAATGAGTCTTCAGCATCTCATAGGAGTAGTTCTCTAGTGAGATGATTCTCAATGACATTGCACTTGTCAGCCTTTCTCTTTGCTGATCTGACAATTCACTCTGAATGATGAAAAACTGTGCAATGAGATTATCCCCGCAGGGAAATGCGTCCCGCTGTCTGTCCTATTCGTGTGATATATTGTCTGAGGACTGTTGGATCTTCCTCATTGAGAAGGGCTGGAGGCGGTGCTCGGACACCGGCTGCTTGCTGATGTCGAGCAATTGTTCTTGCATTTGCGTCCTGTACGGACTGTCGAAATGATGGGGACTGTGCCGTAAAAACTGGCATCAAGTCCATCCATGCTGCCTTCAATCTCATGAGAAGGATTTCGAATTTTGAGGTAAAAATGAGGAACTCTTGGTTCTGCCTTCGATGATTGAAGAAACTGAGGAGCCTGTACAGATACACGTTGGTCGCACCTTTCAAAAAGTACTTCTTCAGCGTGTTCTTGAAGTAGTTGACTCCTTCATCAGGATCTTGCAGAAGGTCATTTTGGAGGACTGCCTTATACATGTATGCATCTCCCGTGAGTCTGCTTTTGAGTAGTGGTCCTCTCTTGGGTGCTTCCACTGTAGTGATTGTCACCCAGTCGTCCACGAGTTCTTCATACCTGAACCAGCTGACTTTTCCGTCGTACGATGGCGGCTGCTTGGCGGTCATCGATACATTGAGAGTTTCCTCCGTATAGCCTTGTGGCTTGGCCATACTTGAATAGGCTTCCATGAAGCCTTCTCCATCGGATGACATCTTCCCTTGGATCTCTGCGGAAAACCCGCTCCGCTACCACAAATTGAGGCCCACTGCCGGGGTACCTATCCCAGAAGGGAACTGGTACCCTTGTGGTAGTAGAGGTCGTTGTTTAGGTCCCTGGATCTATTCCGGAGAAAATCCAATATGCCACTATGGATGATTGGAGGATGGATTGTCCCTGGTGGATTGTATTGTGGATAATCCTGTAAGCGGCCTGCACAGGTTCCTTTGTCACGCAATCATGAGTATTGCTATGATACAGAAAGGGCCTTGAGCCAAATGGTTGCGGGAGATCAATTGTGTAACAAACCAAACACAAGGGGGCGGGGCACCCGTCTAGAAGTACGAAGTTTACAGCATTTGCTCTGGTACCACCCAGAGTACTCCTCAAATGGCTTCATTCACCCAGCCAGAACTGCATTTTGCCTCGATTTCGCCTCAAAAACATGTCCTGGAGTGAACTTGCCTGTTTTTAGCAGTTCGACCTGTGGCAGCAGAAACCATGGCACGTATTCCAGCTCGAATTGCAAACTGCGTCAACAGTTGCTTTGCGAACGTATCGCTCTACCGCGGAACCGACGATGTAGGTTCAATCCTTACAGACTGAATCATATAGAAACCGCAGCCTCGTCAGATGTTGAGCTTCACGCCAAACCCGGCTGCTAAATGGGCAGGCTCACAATTGCAAAGCGTCCAGGGGGTTCAACAAAGTGGTATTTCCCATGAACCAACACCAGTTGCGAGTCTTGCCAACACGTGCAGGTCGGAGTCAAGCGCAAAAAGGTGAAAAGCCACATGATTGTACACATCCAGTTAGAGATCGTTTTTGAGGGGGGCCCTTCTTCTAAAAAGATTTGGGTTTCACCCGGCAACCCATGGAGCACCATGTTGGTTGGTTTCCGCCCATGTTTGAGGCAAACGAAAACCATATTTTGCCTGGCCACGAGCAAGGCACCGGGTCACGTTCTCCTCATGGGAATCCACAAATGCCGCTGCCTGCGTGTGATCCATTGTCTCCTGCGTTGGGAAAAGGCGGGCATGCCTCAAGATTTCTGTGTGCGCTTTGTTTGGGGTACCTCCTTTTGGAATTGGTTGAAAGGGACACCAAAAGGCAAACCGCCATGTTGTGGGTTCCCCTGTTGTGGCACATACCCATTTGGGATTTGTGTGCCATGGCCCGAAACGGGTTCTAACAAACGGGTTCCTTTTGGATGCTGCACAAGGTTATCCTTCGGAGCAAGCTGGAGCCAGTTTGTAAGAACCCGTTTAGGGCCTCCGACTGCCGTGATTAACTCCCCAAAACATTGTCCAGTTACCCGTATCAAACAACCAGCAACCAGTACCTTTCTAAGGCATAGCCCGAATGGAGACGCATGTGAATGACTAAATGGAGGCTCCAGAATCGGTGCCTTCCTTTTGGATTTCTGTGCTTAACCTACCCAAAGGGTATCAAAGAAGACTTCTGGCTGCTAAAAATGATTGTTGCATACCCATCTGTTGAAATGCCGATTTGTAATTTCTACCAGCTCTGAGTTGTTCATGGCGCTTTTTCTCGGCCGTCCTTGATCTTGAACTTTGGGTGCGTCAGCAGATCGATCCAAACCGTTCCTCACAGCAAATGAAGGTTAGCCAAAGTGGGTGTTAAAGCAACACCGCCCCCCTATCCAAGGTTGGCCCAAAGTGGAGCATGGAAGCCACAAGGCCAGGTCAGAAAGACCAGAAAAAGCAAGAACGACGGACAATGCCGGAAAACCACATGCCGTCTCTGGTCAGCGTTCACTCAACATGTGTAAAACCACCAGTCTGACCCCTCCGATTAGTTTTATGTCATGAATCCAACAGAAAACAAGGAAATTCCACATGTTGCATATCCAATTCATTTGACCCCCGGACTCTGTTCGTGGATCCAGCTCAAGCCCCCTTGCTCAGAATAGGTGGGCGTGTCTTTTTCTGAGGGTGCCCTTTTTGTTGATTTTGTAAAGGGAATCCAAGCGGAAAGCCGCCGTTTTGGCGAGGACTTTCAAAACACGACACATTCTGGTAACCATTCCGCTTGTTGCCTGCTATAATGGTTACTGGAGTTGTTCACCAGCACGTTTCGGCAACATCTGAATGGCTTACAGTAATCCCCAAACCCCGCGAAATGAAAACATGTAAATAGTACTCACACTTCTCTGACACAAACACCGTCTGTGTGGCAAGTTGTTCCATTTCCTTGGCCTAATCTATGAGTCTGTACCCAGTCCTCTTTCTTCGGCCAACTCCCTCCATCTGTTCCCTCCTGGTTCAACACCTGTTAACATGTACGCGCATATCCTAGCATGGCAGCCTCCTATTTCCATCTATTTCCATCTATTCCCCAGATCCAGCAGCAAGTCTTGCTCCATCTATGGGTTCGGGTCTACCTGAGGAAAGCTTGAGTGGACCCTGGGAAATACGTCGATTCTGCGAAGAGCGCGTGTGCACAACCAGCCTCGGGTACTTTCACAAGACAGGGGCACACTAGTTTGTCGGGAACTCCGAAATTAGCACGCCTGACGCACGGAGAATGCTCGAAACATTAGTACATGCTGACAAACATCTTAGCAAATCTTAGCAACACGTGCTCCGGCAAACCGGAAAAAAAGGAACTCCTACGTGGCAAAGGCCCTTCACGAGTCATTTTCGAGCTTGCTTTCCGCGTACCATGTTGCCCAAGCGCTTAGTGGAGAAAAAAACAAACAAACAACAAAAACAAACAAAAACACATGCACGTCCAGGGTCACCTGCCAGTTGGGGTCCGCGTGGTTCGGCAAAACGAGTCACTTTACCTCTTTTGCTTTCTACTCCCCTGCAAAAAACAACTTTTAAGTGGTTTAATGGAAACCATTGGTTGGCAAAAAGTTAAAGTCCTAACATCCAGGTCCAAGCAAACAGCAACAAAGGTACCCCCAAGCTCGATGCGGATCCATCCATCTCCGAGTCGCTGAAGTCCTCCCACTTGGCGGCGCTCAGGAGACGGGTGCGCCAGTGCAAAGCCTCCTCCACCTGGGCCCAAAAACATGGGTGTGCGTGTTTGTTCCCTTTTTACCAGCTTCTTTTTTCAGTGCCCTCGATTCATTTTTTGGGTGCCATAATCCATTTTGAAAATAAGGGCACTTAGTCCAAAATCAAAGAGGTCACTTAAGCCATTTAAAGGGCACGTTGACCCTCAGGGTTTCCCTCCCCAGCAGATCCCTCCAGTCAGGGCAAATCGAGCCGCAGCGACACGTGAATGCGAATGACACTCACGCAGGGGGGACCGACACTAGCGTAATTGACCTTTTCAAGGGGTAAGTGACCTCGATTCGCACTCATGTTCGGGCTTTCCGGGTCGGCCCCAATCAAATATGGCAGTTATCACACTTCGACACGGGTAGCTGTTCGATTTCAACAGAATCCCAACCCCTTTCAAGCCAAAAAGGGCACTTAGCAAACGAATTCAGTGCCCTCGATTCAAAAACACGTCAAGTGCCCTTCATTAGAGGGCACTAAAAATATGCTGGTAGGGTTGGATCAAAGAGAAATCGAAAGGAACACCACCCTTTTTGGGGACCCCCCTAGTTTGAGAAATAATTACCCACAGGAAGCCGCTCAATTGATTGTTTTCACTGGTATGCTACTAGTTATATTTTGCAGCAAGAAACGAGCATCTAACTCGCCCCGCGCAAACGGGCGTCTTCTTGAGTTGAGAAACTGGCGACGTTAAGGCCCATGTTGGCCCATGTTGTAGCCAATACCCCCCCCCCCAATATCTTTCCGCCGTCCGCCCTCCCCCTTTTTTAGTTCCATCCTCATTTAGCGACTGAGTGTTAATTCTAAATTTGGTTCATGTCCCTTGGCTTTGACCTACCAACACTTCAAATTGTTTCAAGTGCAGAAGCGATCATGTTCAACCAAACACTTACTTACAGGTTGACTTTTGGTCCTGCTAAGAAAGCTATAAAGGTTCATACGGTGTACTATTGTTCTAACTAAAAAAAGTAGCACCACTCACGACAGCAGGCTTGCGCGCTTGCAAGTTCACCCGCGCCTGCAGCACCGGGGAGCGAATCGAGGGGAAGTTGTCATAGCGGCCCCACTGGAGAAAAACGAAGGCCTGCGGATTCTTTCGCCAGAAAGGAACCACGTATTGGTAGGTTGGCCATTTGTATTGACCAAACAAGGATGAATGCAACTGACCGGGGAGAGAAAACGGTGTACATATGTGTTTTTCTGAGGGTACTACCAGGTAGCCACCAAACAGGAATTTGCAGTCCGGGCGACGTTTTTTTCGATAGAAACCTCTTGAGCCAGACATGGGAATGTGGTGTTGGCTCCGTGGATTCTCCTTAACAGCACGGCGAGTCACTTTGACGAATGACCACGTAACTTCCACTTAGTTGCAGAAGGGTATGGCATGTCAATTAAGGCATCCTGTGGTCATTGAATTACGTCAACAAAAACCTGCATAGGACTGCGCTGGCTGAATTCGAAAGGAACCCGCCTTTCCGCCCAAGCAACCCTTGCCGTACTCGAGACTTTGTGAGGTCGCATATGTTTTTTTCTGAGACCCTTTTGCCTCCAAATTTGGGCTGCAAGATATTCATGTCAATATCCTTGACAGTCACCCGAGATGAGGCTGTCCCAGCCTCACAAAACGGCAAGCCCAATGTTTAGATGTGTCCCTCACAAGGTAATGCAAGGAGCAAAACAATGCAGCATTGGTGGCTTCTCTTTGGTTTCCGTGTAAAAGGTGAAAAAGCGACCCCTCAAAGAAGCAAACAAACCCATGTGGGTGTGTCTTTTTTAGGCCCTCCCCCCAAAAAACAAACCAAACAATCAGAAACATGTGGTTTTCCTGTTGCGTGTCTCTGTAACCCCCCGAAA